AACCCATTTTCACATTTTGAGGTCCCTCTGACCTGACAGGGAGAGGCTTTCTGTCCTTGAGGACACTTGATTAGGAGGTTGGGTCTGCCTAGATAATCCAGGATAACCTACCAAGGCCCATACCCTTAGTTAACATCTGAGAAGGATCTTTTGCCATCTAAGGTACCATGTTTCCAGGTTCTACGGACCAGTGTGCTGACATCTTTGGAGATATTCCCCTGCCTACCTCTGGCATATCATCTGGCCTTGTTGTCAAGTAAAGGCAGCAGTAGTTATTACTACCATCAGAGCTGTAAGCATAACACGTATTAATGTTGACATACCTGAGAAAATGTGACTTAAAAATACCTGTGTTTTTCTAAGTTAAAATCATTTGGACCAGGTCTTAAGACAGTTTTGAAAAAGATGTTTCAGGACTTTTGTAGTCAAGCAGAGCTACAATAGTACTTGTCTCTGTGTATAGCAAAGAATGGTAATTTACATTGTGTCTGCTTCTTTGATAATTTAGATTTAGAAAAAATGATACGAAACAGGCATGCTCCTGCCACCAGTGAGTTTGCTCTCAGTTACTCACTGCCTGCCATATGCTCCTGCTTTCACGCCTGCGTTCATGTTCTCCCAGCTGCTTAGCCTGCTCATGTCTGTCTACCAATTTATCTATAATATGCATATTTATCACAAGTTTTGACTCCTACATTCTCAGAAAGTTTCCAAAATGCTAAAAGTGTGGCATTTTCTCAATTTCCTTACTGGCTGAATAACATGATAAAAAGAATCCTTGTCGTTGGCCAGTTTTTCAAAGAGTGTTTTGTTTTTGCTTTTTGGATCCTGGGATTGAACTCATCACCTCGCACCTGGTACTTGTGCTGCTGAGCTAGATCCCTGGCCCTCAAAGAGCGTTTTTTGAGCTCTTCTCTGGGGTGTTTTCCCTCCATAAATTTGTAGAGTGTTGAAAAAGCTCCTGTGGCATCTTAGACCAAATAGGTACTTAATAACTACTAGTTGAACTTATTTGAAATACTGAATTTAATTAATTGATTATGTTATCTTACATACCAAAATTTGGGGACAAATGTATATTTATTGTTTCTTTAGATGCTCTTAACAACATTGCTAAAATGTCTGATACAAATGAGCAAAAATGAGTTCTTAGAGATGAGTTTCTGATTCAAATTTATATCTTACCATATCCTAGTACGTTTGGGGCCAAGTAATGGACTTCTTAAAATTCCCATTTTTGAACCTTTAATTGACATATACTATAATGCAGGAAGAGATATGAGTTGTAAGTATATAGTTTGATAAGTTTACAGCTGCTCTCACACATCATATCATGAAACTAGGATTATTACCAGCGCCCGAAACACTTTTTAAAGTTTTCCGTTTGCAGCTACTCTATTTTAGTATTTTCAAAGATATGACAATATTCCTTAGGAACAAATCTCCAAGTAAGTATATGTGAGTTTACAAGATTAAAAAAATATGGCTCCTGCCCTGAGGATATATTCAAACGTGGAAGAGTTTTAGTTTTATCAGCTAGTTTGAGATGCTATAAATTTAACTCAAATTTTCATTTTCCTATCTTTATTGAATACTTGTGATGATTTAAAATACTTTTGCCTCAGATATTCACAGATGGTTAAAACTGTACCATGTGTTGGCCCTGATAGTGTGACTCGACATCCTGTCTACATAGTGTGTCGTTGCTGCTGTTAACATAGTCTGACTGTGTTCTCCAGGCAGGCCTTGAACTCCTGGGTGCAAAGGGTCCTTCTGCCTTGGCCTCCAGTAGCTGGCACTGTAGGTGTGCTCTGCCATACCCAACTCTACACAGTTTTTATTGAGATCAAACCAATATATTTTCTCTGGAATTTTGGTTGAGCCTCATAGTAGGTATTGACGAAAAACCTGTTAATAAAAGTGGCAGCCCTGTACTGTACACTTTAGCTGGAATTGGAATTGCCTGTAACACAACAGAGAAGATAAGAATCTTAGAGAAATTAGACTCAGGTATAATGTTTCTCATTCCCCATTCATTTTTGTGTTCAAGGGTGTTGAAGCATTATTTCTAAGGATAAATCCATTGGAAACTACTTTGCCTATTAACAGTAATACTTATAGCATAGTCATAACACGATCTATTATAAAGCATGAGTATATTTTTAAAAAAATTATCTATTATAAGCATGAAGATATATTTTAAAAAGATTTTTAGCTGGAGATTTAGCTCAGGGGTATAAGCATCTGCCTGGCAAGTGTGAGGTCATGAGTTTGATCCCTGGTATCAAAAAAAATTAATGATAAGGGAAATTTAATAAGATTAAATAAAACTGCATATAGCAAATACTAACTTTGTTTATAAAAATGTATAGGAACAGAAGAACGCCATGGAAATTCTTACTGGTTATTTTTGAGAGCTTGCTGAGAAGTGCAGCTATGTCTATACCCTTGATGGAGGAAAAGGCCCACTTTCGTCGGGGTGGTTTTCCTCTTCCATTGAGTGGTGAGGGAGGAAGGAGACAACCGCCTTACCAGCCACAGCGGCTGGATCAACCATGACATTCAATGAGGTGACAGATGTTGCAGCCAGGTTGCCCTCACTTCCTGGTTGTTTTTGAATGGTGTGCTTGAAAACAATTTAAATGTTCTTATTTTATAAATATTTTAAATTTTCTGCCTTTCTTTTAAAACCAGAAAATGATTATATAGGACCCATATTTAAAGGGACAGATCACTGATTTTTTTTTTTTTTTTTTTTCTGTGAAGTAAAGTCTTTGGGTAAATCAGGCATGGCCAATGCATGTTTTAGGCAAGTGGTTAGCAGAATTCCCTACAATAGCAGCAGAATTGCAAATACCCATAAGTGCCCTTCTTGAAATAATAGAATTTTTGATACAGGACATATCAATGGCCCAGTTTCCTATTTAAGACAAGATCCTTTGTGCCCCAGTATACTTTGAACCTTTGTTAGGGAAGCCCCAGAGAAAGCCTGGGTTGCCTCTGAACCACTTGAACAGAAGATGAGGGATGATCAAAAATTTTTTTGAATGTTTGAGTTTTCAGAATTACTCAAGCAAAAGATACCTTGCCAGTAACCTCTTTAAAAATAGTATTCCTTGATTTGGGGTTTTACCCTGAGAGCCGTGGGGAATCTCCAGGTCTGCTCTTTGAAGGAAAGGGCAGGGCTCCAGGAGACCTCACTGTTATGTTGAAAGGTCACTGTGCCAGTGCATGGCTCCCGGGGACCTGGATCTCCAGCCGCCCCGATGGCAGCCTTCTGGCCCACTGGTCCCACAGAGCAGCAGTGCGCAACACAGTGATCGGACAGGTGCACACCCATAGAACATCTCTGATGATGACCTGGAATTTATTTACTTTTCTTGTTTCTTTGGAAATAACCAGGCAAATATTTGCAAATAGAACAAGAAAAGTAAATAAATAAATTCCAGCTCATCATCAGAGAAAAAAATATATATTCCCTTGCTTTTAATACACGAATCCCATCATTCTTGCCACTTTCTGAAGCAGTCCTCTTTTGTAAGTGTGTGTGGGTGCATTGTCGTGGTTTGTTCAGGCCTGACTTTAAAAAATTCATAATCTTTGTTGGGCTTTAATTTTCCTTTAGAAATGGAAGAAATGCTTGAATTGTTTCCAGATGTCTACCTTTCACTGTTATTTTGACTTTGGAGAAAGAGCCATTAGACCCATGGTGCCAGATTGGGTGAATAAGGTGGATGAGGACCCAGTGTACTGTTTTTATTTGGTAGAAATTGCTATAAACATTTGATCAAGGAGAGGTACTCATAAAACAGTGGATGTTTAATTTTAAAAATTTATGACAGCAGGAGACACATTGCTGTTAATCCTCAGCATACTCAAAATACTTCCCCTTGTTTCAAACACACTTGTTGTTCTTGGCAATGCATATTTTACTCTAAGTTTAAAAAAATTAAACATTCATCTTTAGATATCTTAATTTACCTCCTGTTTGCTTTGGTTTTGTTTTGCCTCGCAATCCGGTTTTGATCATCTTGTCATGTGGAGCAAGAATAAGCCTTCTTCAACACAGGTACCCTTTAAATACCTACATGTGCGTGTCTGTAACATTTGCCACAGTATATTCTTAGCAGGATAGACCATATCTGAGTAAAAGTGGGCAATTACTGTGTTCTGACAGTTTTATACATCCATACAGTCATTGCTGCAATTAAGATCTATATCCTAAAAGTTATCTTATGCTCCTTTGTACACTACTCCTAATTGACCTGACAATCGCTGATTGGCTGTGTCACCACAGATCAGTTTGCATTTGCTTGAGTTTCATGTAAACAAATAATATAGTATGAAAGTTTTTGAACTTTTTGTTTTAAATTGGTCTATAAGACCCAAATCCTTAACTGTTTCTTTTACTGTATGAAGCAATTTTATAACATTCATTCTTTACTTTTATGGGGCATCATAAAAGATGTTTCAGACTTCCTCTTTGCAGAATTAACCACTCAGTGAAGTGGTGGTATAGAGCTTATAAATGAACCTGTTCTTTTAGCTGTAACAATGTAAAAGTCTATATAATGTTTCCAGTTATTATTCAAAGGTAATTTTTCAAAATTTTTGAAATTAATCCGGTACTAAGTCTAATTCATTAGGATGTAGATTTTTCTCATTTTTAAGTTTAACACGATTTTTTGATTCTTTCTTTTAGTAGTTACTGAATGGGTTTTCACATTGTGAAAACAACATTGCCATTTTAAAATTACAGTGGAAAATTCAATATTTATAAATATATGTTCGCTTACAGAGTAGTCCCATTTCACAGAAAGAAAATCTGCTTGAATAGAATCTTGAAGGCAAAGTTGAGTATTTTATCCAACCCAGCTATGATCAAATAGAAATACTGATGTCATCTACATTTTTGCCTCTGGACTTTTTTATAGTTCCAAACCACACCCATGTTGCAGGCTGGCCTTTCCAAGTTCATTAAGATTAAAATCTGTAGAAGTAGGCAGAACACTTCAGTGAGCAGTTAGTTGCTTGATTTCTTTGGTCAAACACTGACTTACATAGTACTGTCTGAAAATAGGCGCAGCTTAGAGAGAGACTGAATTGTAAGTCTTCTGAATCTGTTTTCCTGCACCTTCAAATCTTAAGTGTGAAGACCAGCAGAAACAGGTATGCCAGTCTTCTCTTACGTAAATTGCAGGTCTCTAGTTGCAGATTCTAGTACTGCTTTTTCATATAATCTTAAATTGAGATAAACTACTTCAATTTTTTTTTAAAAGTTTTTTCTTGCTTTGGGATACTAGGTGGCTTTGCATAATCAATGCAAATGCAGTATTAATCTTAGTGTGATGGTCACATAATTCTTCATTCTGTCTTCATTTTTCTGTTTTGAAAATGTCTATAACAGGATTACTTATTAGGTAAGAAAAAAAGGTTTGGTTTGTTCAAGCTTGAATTTAAAAAATTCATAATCTTTGTTGGGCTTTAATTTTCCTCTAGAAAAGGAAGAAAATTATTTGGAAAATGCTGAAGCAACTGAATATATTTTTTTCTGTGCTATCTAGAAAGAATGCCATCATTCTTTGAAGGCTAGTGCTGTGATCTGATGAAACAACTTTTCCAGTCTGTAGTTTAATCGTGAATAAGCAAAACTCCTGTAGAGAGATTCCACAAATATGCCAAGCAATTGGCAGTAGAGTGTATCTGCAATGCTGGGGGTGTGATGAGGTTATATTCAACTATGTGTAAGACAATAGCTAAATTGAGATAAATTTCATCATTATGTTTGCTTTTACTTTTTTTCATTTTTAAGACTAGCTATGTAGTTCAGGTTGGCCTTGAACTCATGGTGATTTGCCTGCCTTAACCTCCTCAGTGCCGGTACTGTAGGGGAATGCCCCCAAGCTCAGCGATCTACATTTTAAGAATTAAAATATAACTGGTGATAGTGTCCTTACTTAAAAGCTTTTTTTTTTTAACTGTTTCACTGAATTTGGTAAGGCACTTAATCAAAGGCTTTTAGAAATAGTTTTCTTACAAATAGTATACACATAAGCATGTTGCCTTTCAGTTTGAACATTTTTAATAGTCTGACATTGGCTGTAAAATAATGTGTATCTTCAACCTGTACAGCCTAGAAGCCACGGGAGTCTTTTAGGTCTTTTCTTAGTAAAGCAGAAAATGTGCAGTTCCTTGCCCATGTAAAGCTGAGAAGGTCTTGAATGATGCATGTCGAGGAAACTTGGATACTGATACTGCTGGCCTTTTAAATAGGTTTTAGTGCCAAAGAATTAAGGACTCTTGAGTTTTCCTAAAATGGGCCAGCTTTTAAAAAGTTAAGTATGTTTCCTTTGTGCAGTGACCTGGACTCTCAGACCTAAGAAGAAACTTAAGATTTACCTGTTTAGCTTTGTGAAGCAGGCGGCCATTTATATGTACCTTGATGAGTCATAGAAGTGAGCTACTCCGGGCTGTTCTTAGGACAATGAACACATTGTGAGCGTTTAACACTGGAAATTGAATGCTATGGGAAAACTTCACATAGTTAACCTCAATAACAACAACAACAACAACAACAACAACAACAACAACAACTGTGATAGTTTTCTTAGGAACCAGAATTGCCTTTCCTGTATCCTGTCTGGAGTTCAACAAAGGCTATGCCCTTGCACCAGTCTTCTCATAATGAACCTGCCAGTCAGTCACTCAGCTGTGCTCTTGTGGAGCAGGGAGATAACATTCCTTTATGATCCCCAGTTTAGATCAGCTTACCACCCGAAGCATGACATTTGATTACCCTTATCATGTTACTTTGCATAGCCACAAATGTTTTTAAAGGAGTGGCCTTATCTAGCTGTTTTAAAAGTCCACATTCGTGCTGACTTATAGTGCTGGAAACAGTGCTATTGCTGGGACCTCGTAACAGGAGCCTGTGCACAGCCGGGCAAAGTATGCACTGCTCACGCAAGCAGCTTACACTCTCCAGGGTCCCACTGGGTGCTGGCCTGTTTTCTCTTTTTAAATGCTGATTTTTAATCTCTAAAGCTCAGTGTTTGTGGATTGAATTGCTTTAAAAATTATAAAGGTTTACTGGCCACTTCTGACCACGTTGTTCTATTAGAATTGAGGTTTCCGTCTTTCTTTCCAAATGTTTTCAGCACAGTTATAGTCTTGTAGAACATGAGTCATAAATCATTAAATGCAAATGACGGAAGAGTTTTAAACTCCTTTACCTAATTCAATAGAGGTGACAGACTAAATTGTTTCTTTCTCTAACACTCTGACTCAGTGGCCCGTAGGTTTTTGGATTTACTCAGCTCATCAGAAAATATGTGTTGTGGGCTAGGGATTTAGCTCAGTGGCATAAGTGCCTGCCTGCCAAGTGAGGTCCTGCCATGTGGGAGGGTGGGGAGGAGGAGTGTATATTGTGCATATACTACTTCCAAGGTGTAACTTGAATATTGTACATCTGAAAATTTAAAGTCTGATTCTGAAATGTTCTAAATTCTAAAATGTGTGTGTGTGATGCTGGGGGTAGAACCAAGGGCCTTGTATTTTCCAGGCAATTGCTTTGCTACTGAGCTATCCTTCCAGCAACAAAAACTCTTCAAACTTTTTGAGACCCAGCATGGTGCCACAAGTGGAAAGTTCCACACCCAACCTCATGTGACAAATCACAGATAAAACACAGGTGTACTGGCCAGGAGTGGCAGCATTCATCTGTAATCCCAACACTCAGGGAGGCTGAGGCAGAAAGATTACAAGTTCAAGTCCAAGCAGTTTAGCAGCTTAGTTTGACCTGTGTCATAATAAAAAAGAGTTTGGAATGAAGCTCAGTGCAAAGGTCCTGGGTTTAATCCCTAGGACCACACAAAACGAAACCACAAAAAAACAAACTCCACAGGTGAACTAAAAAATATAAAATGCAAACAAATTTCATATTTACATGTGATATGGCCCCAATACTTCTCATTATATATAAGCAGATTGCCAAAATCCCAAAAATCTGAAGTTTAAAACACTTCTGGTCCCCAATATTTTCACTAAGTGAAATTCAGCATGTATATATATATTTCATTTATTACTGTATTCATGTTATTAATGTATATAATGTACTGGAGCATTTATAAAAAGAAGAGTAATACAATTTTTAAAATGTGTTGTTAATGTGCATTGTATGTACCATTATTACCGATTGATGTACTTTAAAATTTTGTTGTCGCTTTTTTCTTTTTTTTTCATTTTGTGTTTTAATAAAATGGAGTTAAAAAATAAAATGTATTTTTAATTGGAAAGACCTTATAGTATCCTTAACTAATATCCCATGGTACAGTGTACACACTAGTTACTGTTTATTAATGAGGGTGAATGTAAAGCTGTATCATATATATGATATATGATATAGCTGTATCATTAATAATTTTGAATTTTTGCCTAATTTGTGGTTATAGCTGCTCCCCTTTGTTTTCTGGTGAAGCTGGTAAAGACTAATATTAGGATTAGCAATATCAGTTTTGCTATTTTTTATGCTTATATGATTTGTATTTTTTCCAGTCTCTAATTTTTATATGCATTTTTAAAAGCTATTTGCCTATTTAGTGAAGGTATGTTTGATACCAAGTGGGTTATACAATCCATTAATCCAGGCAAACACAAATTATAGGATGCCACAAATGCTGAAAAGGGAAGGCAGAATGATGGTTCTCCCGCCAACGTCTTCTCAGGGTGTGTCCACTCCTCTCCTGAGGTGTCCTGTTGACTCTTTGTGTTGTGGAATAAGGAGTTGAAAGGACACCCCAGGAGAAGAAGAGTGGACATACCCCCGGAAGGACCAAGTTACAATGCTATTGAAAATGCATGTTCAGTATTTGTAAAGCTAATTTTGTTCCTTTTTTTTAAGTTATGAAAGTAAACAAGCGATTATAATATTTACTTCCTTTACTCTGTTAGACGCCATTATTTTGGGGGACCCCTCTCTTCTGAGGAGGCAGGCTACAGCTTCAGTTTTCTCATCTGTAAAAAGAGGTTGGGCTAGAGGGCTTTTAGACCCCTCTGCTATCCCTGCTCTGGGGTACAGTGGGGTTAGGGGCAGAATTGCTTTTTCTTTCTTTTTTTAAGTATGGGGGATTGAACCCAGGGCCCTCAGACTGAGCTACATTCCCAGCCCTTTAAATTAAAACAAACCAAAAAAAACCAAATATTTTTAAGCCTGGGTCTTACTAAGGAACTAGTGTCCAAGCTGGGTGAAACTTGCCCTTCTGTCTCAGCCTCCCAGAATGATGGGATTGTAGACATACACCACCATACTTGGCTCAGAGATGGTATTTTTTGCCCCATTTAGTTTTGTTTGTTTTTTTGGACTAAAAATTGCCTATTGACTCATCCTCATAACTAATGTTTACTGCATGGAAATTACTTATGTAAAAATTATGTTCAGAAATGTAAGGGACTTACTTTTTTTTTTGAGACAGAGTCTCACTATGCAGTCCAGGCTGGCCTTGAGCTCACTTTGTAGCCCAGGCTGGTCTCAGACTCTCAACGATCCTCCTGCCTCAGCCTTCCAAGTGCTGGGATTACAGGTGTGAGCCAACATGCCCGGCTAGGATTTACTTTTTAAATCAAGATACTGGAAATATGCACAAAACCAGAACTGTAAAAGCTCCTTTCTCTTCACAGCCATCCAGCTTAAACTTTACCCTCTCAGAAAAACCTTTGTCAAAACTCATGTTTGAAGTTATTTGTTTGCTTTTTTTCATCCTATGGAATTGTTTGTACATTATTAATTATAGTTATGTTTGTCTTTTATGGGGCACAGTAGTTTATACTAAGTTTTATACTAGCAAGTCTTGCTGAGTAATTAATTTCACTCAATGTTGAAGAAGGCTATTGAGAATATTAAGAACTCCAAAAATTATTTTAAGATGTTTTCTTCTAAGGAAACAGTTTTAGAAATCCTGAGGCAGGAGTGTTAACCTACAGCCCATGGACTTCTAGGTCCTTGAATGGCCATGCTAGTGGATCTACATCAATAATCTTCCTGAAGTTATTTACAAAATTCAGGTTTATGAGCAGTTTTCTTAGTGGAAACCCATAACCCTTTATCAAAAGTGCTAAAACTCAAAAGACCATTAAGAATCAGTAGGGGAAATGCTGTAGGGGAAATATAAGCA